TGGCATCATATTAGAGTTTTAGAGCTATTCTTGACATAGACAAGAGGGTCAAAACGCATAGCAATAAATTTTAAATGAATGGTTACAAAGAGAGAGCGCTCTGGGAAATGGACCTTAAAGCACAAACAGTTATTCAAGCTATACTTTAGCTGTATGACAACACAACACCCTGCTGTTCTGAGTCAAACTGGAACCATGAACTATACTCAGACAGATTTGCTCTTATTTAACACTTAATTTGAACTGATACACAGACCCTGAGCTTCATTTTCATTTGAATCTTTAAACCTTTCTTAACATAATAATTTTAATTTAAAGCCACATAACACACTGATTTGTTTATTCTCAGTGTCTTTACACAAAAATGTATGCAAAGGAAAGTGTTGCCAAGGTGATCGCTTTATGAACAAGCCCACAGTCTAAACATTGACATGCACAGGCTTTAAAAACAACACATACTTTCTATTTTACATGGACATAGACTCTCTCTTCCTCAAGCTACAATGTGTCCACAGAGTTATAGATGAGGCAGATATTCACATATTTTCCTAACTGGTTCCATCTTTTACAGAATTGTCCCTCCTCACTATTGAATTGACAATCTAGTTTAGATTACACCAAGGAACTGCAATACTCACCAATGACCCACACTTGACTTCTGAAACAATGCCAGATGGCTATTCAGTTATTCCCCTTAACCTCTACCCAACATTGCTTTTCTAAATACGCTGCAACTCAACAGCAGAAGGAAAGGGTACAAAATGAATTTGGAAAGCTTCTATCAGTGGTCCTTGAAATGTTTCAACTTTTTTGCAGTCCATCTGATAATCTAAAAAATTAGTAGAATTTTTTATGACTCTGAAACAGAACAAAATATGGAAAACTAAATCTTGACTTTAATCTTTTTCACAGCATTGTAATATATTTAGAAATTAAAGTTATAGTATCTATTGACAGCCACCAAGCTACCTTTTAGGGGAGCTGGAGGTTTGGACAGTGTACATATGAATTAAGATGAGTTACTGATGTCTTAAGGTTTACACTGAGTCAGCAGTTCTTAATTATCGTGGTATGCCATTCCCAATGAAGTAACCTGGCAAAATATCTGTGATGAGGGCTTACCTGATTAAGCATAGTGGACTAAAATCACTGTAATATCTGCCTTTCACTGTTTTTATCATCAGAACCAGAAAACCCTAGGGATTAATAAAGTATTATGATTCTGATTACTAAATCAGGAAAAGGTTACTCCAGTGCAGACTCATTTCACACAGCATATCAGGACTTCAGTGGTACTTTCCTCTTGCTATCCATTAGCAGTGTAGTTAACTTAAATGATTACAGGATACTAGCACTGACAGGAGTTATTCCTGGGCACTGGGGACAGCACTAACCAGAGACCTTGAAATTCTTTTCATTGAGCAGAACCACTGAAGGAGATCACTAGATATAATTTTCTAACAAAACAAACCATTCCACCCTTGGACATGGGTGATCCCCACATAACCCCTGCCTATAAATATCACACCAGTGACAGGAATTAGTGTGGATAATGACTTGAACATAGGATGAGGGAACCTCCAAAAGATGATTCTGTTCATCTGGACGTAGCGTTTTGTGGGAGAAACGTTTCGTCACTCATCCAAGTGACTTCTTCAGTCTCAGCTGACTGCAGGTTTCCCCAATCTTATAAACAGGACATTTGCATAATGACTGAAACCAGCCCACTGAAGGAACAATGGGCTGGGAGGTCAGTTGCTTCATCATAATTATGCAAATTCCCATGACCATTGATCAACAACCACTGATCAATGGCCATGAGTACCATTCAAAGACAGTTGGGGAATGGCTGCAATCACAGCATTGTAAGGGTGAGGGAAGTTTAAAAAAAAATAAATCAACTGACGAAGAATCACCACTGGAGGCTCTAAAGGGTTCCAAGTACTTCTACTGCAAAGATGGGAATCCTATTAGTTCTGTCTTTTTTCTGGCTTTCACTGATCAGACAACATTAAAACCCCCAGCCCTAATATGTGCCTTCATTGTGAGAGCACACAAGCTCTGACCCATTACAATATGTACATGACCTCTGTGGTGTTTGGCACTGGGATGTTGACAGGAAATCCTCTGTGTCCTATGAGTTGCCGGGTGGCACTTCTGTGGACTGGACTTCTTCCAGCACATCCCACAGATGATCAATGGGATTGCAAAGTGTGGGTAGTGGAGACAGGGTCACTGTTTCAGACTCCTTGTTATGGCCCTCATGCCTAATTCCTGACCAAGTTTTTGACTGTTACAGGGAATGTTAACCACGAGGAGGGCGTGTGCTTGATCTGTTATCATGTTGAAGTGGGTGTATGAGTGAGCGTAATATCCAGGTGAATCACAGGACCAGAGTTTACCCAGGGATGGATTACACCCACTTCACCTGCAGTTTTAATGCTGTGGCTGATCTGTGTGTATCGCAGATTGAGAAAAGGCAGGAACCAATTTCATCAGTTAACGTTCAGAAATTAACAACCTGATGTATCCACTTTAGAATGCGCTACTGTCTGACTGCCCATCGTGCTGCTGACATATGATTGACATCCAATAGAGTTTCTTTGAGTCCTGAACACAGACCAATGAAGCATTTCTCCTTCTTAAATGGTTAACCATGAGAAGCAAAGCCTTATATTGCCTAAAAACAAACCTCATCAGAGCTGGTGCAGTGCTTATGTTTGAACTGGCTTTTCTGTTTGCATACTCAAAAGAGAAAACCGTCATTTGTTCACTTGTCACAGGACTTCAAAGTGAGCCGTGTAATTAAAATATGTATTTGGCTTCTTAATTTTTCCTCTCTTTTCATTACTGAAATGTTCTCTTTTGCTGAAGTTTATCATTCGGGCATGATTATGTTAGATACTCGGCTGGTTTTCTGGAACCCATCTTTTAAGTCTACATTTAAAGGTTACCTGGCGAGAGAAAAATTACACACAGAAGCTTAGTCAGGATAATTTGTCATAATGAAACATTTAAGGATCTACTAAAGTGAAAACCAACAAACGTTTTACAAGTACCTGCAAGAAAACACAAAGACATGTTTGACAGCTTCACACAGAACTCCTCTAATTGGGAACAACTGGCTGGCTGATGACGTGTAGAAAACCAGCTTGCAGCACACAGAGGCAGTTTTGAAGATAATTTGCCATTAGCATCAAAATTTACTTAAGGCCTAAACAACATTAGTAACTTTATCTCTGCATTTTTCAGTTTTCTGTCAGGGTTAGACAAACACTAAAAAACAAAACTAAAATCTAACAGGAATCCAGGACCTGACTGACCTCTCTTTGCAGAGGTTTTAAGACCAACCTGGGGTTACTTTCCACTTTACAAGAGGATAAGCTTAATCCAGTACTAGATATTTAGATATTTATATCAGACACATTGTACACCAACAAAATAAATCAGATCAAAGAAAAGATTTTAAGCGTAATATTCAGACCAGTTTAAATAAGTTGACCCGTTCTTTCTTAAGGAGGAAACTTACAAAGTGTTACATTACCAGGCATCAACACTATCACCGCGTTAATACCTTTTATTTTAATGTTTATAAAGAAGGCATAAATACTGCTCAAGCAGTATCCTGTTGGACTCGTGATGGTGCAACCTTAGCCAGTAAACTGAAAAAAAATTCAGGATGGACATTTGCAGCTACGGAAAATGGGACATGAAATGCAGCGTTAGTACTGTTAGTCCACTTGGCCATCACTGCAGTCATATAGTGCCACGCTCAATTAGCGTAAAAACAACACGTCCTTGGCTCGGGCTATAATTTTATGACAGCCGTTATTATCGTTTGAGGAAAAACGCGTCTGCTCTCACAATGACTAGTCGTTACGTTAAAGGAGCATAGACGTGTACAGTGACTATGCTCGCAATGAGCATGTCACAGTCAGCCACTTCTACGTTGGTGTAACTCGGCGAAACCCGAGCGACTCTCTATAGCCCATTCTTTAATTTAGACACCGAGAAACAGTAGAGCCTTTACAGTGAAGTTTACAAATTTCACCCCAAACAACGGACGAAAAAAGCAGAAAGGCCACATGCTATGAGAAATAAACAAGTGTTAATTAACCTCACCTGTTCCGTACTGCGGTGGAGCTGCTGTGTTGACAGGATGCTGCCGCTGCCGCTGCCGCCTCGCGCACGCATTAAGGTCTCACCACCGGCGGTCTGAGCTCGAGCCGATAGGTGGAGCGCGTGAAGCGAGTTTGGCGCATATGCTTTGGCGCAGTGTTTACGGGGTTTCTGGGAAATGTGGTCTTCTTTTTAACAGGACAGAAAAATGATAAGACAGCATGTAAGGAACAGCGTTTTCGCCTCAGGTGTAAACTTATTTAGTCAATTTAATTTGTACTGTACCTTTGTTTGAAGTTTAGTGTGCTTCAAACAAAGGTACAGAGATGAGTGACAGGCGAGACAGAAAAACTGTAATAAATAAAAAAAATAATACAATAATACAAGACAGGAGTATTGAATAAAGAAAATAGACGTCAATAATAAAAAAAATATATTAATGATAAAATAAACACAAAAATAAAAGTAATTTAGAAGACATTAATATAATAAAAACCGAATTAAATGTAAATTAATCAATAAGATCTAGTATAGTCTTGCGAAATTCTGTTACGTTATTTAATTATTATTTGATACAATAATCCAGTGGAAAGAATGTAGGTAGACGTACAGTGTTACGTAAAAGCATAAACTCCTCAAACACACTTTAAATACAGGTTGACTTTGTGTCGAATGTGCTAAAATTAACCAAAGTAATCTTTTAGTGAGAGAATAAAATAATTTTAATAAAAAAAAATATGAGAATACACACATATTATTTATCGTGGTTTATTCGTGTTTTTGTGAAGCTAAACACTTTAATTACCGTTATTTCTATCAGCAGACAAATGGGACGAATATGCGCGCGCTCGTCTTTCGACGACATTTACTTGAAGCTCTGTCATTGAGAAACATGGCGGCCTCCACAAGAGCTGCAAACGCTGCTGCTTCCAACCCACAAGGTCCAGCTTCGGTCGGCCCGAGTGTGGACAACACGACTCTTCAGTACAGTATGATTCTGGAGCATCTTATCGGTGACAAGAGGCCCGTGAAGGACCTGAACCCCGCCGTGATGGGGGGGCTGCCCGTGCCTCCGAAAAGCGACGAGCAGAAGATGATCGAGAGGGGAATGGAGAGCTGCGCCTTCAAGTCTTTGCTGGCCTGTGTGGGAGGTAAACGGAGACATTGAGAGTGTAACAAACATCACAAGGGTTTGGTGTTTTAGTGTGTGTTTGGCTGCTCGTGCGGAATATTTCGTGTGCTAGGTCACCTCAGATATACGAGGCTATGGGAGCTGTAATGCTATTATACCAATAAATAGCAAATTAATCAGTCATCTGATCAAATCAATCAATCGGTCATCGATATTGTCTTGTTTTAAGATTATGTATTTGTGTTCAGACATAAGAAACGTGAAAGCAACATTTTAGAACTTTTTGAATAAACGGTTATCAAATAATCAGTTTATAATAAAGCCACAATGTTGCCCAAATGTAGCCATTCAGCTCAATAGCAGAAAAGATCTGTATATATTACAATTTTAAGAGTCTGGTGATGTTTTTGCTCACCATAGGGTTCGTCCTTGGAGGAGCTTTCGGTGTTTTCACAGCTGGAATTGATACTAATGTTGGCATCGACCCCAAAGACCCTTTGAGAACTCCAACAGCACGAGAGGTTCTAAAAGACATGGGCCAGAGGGGGATGTCCTATGCCAAGAACTTTGCCATTGTGGGCGCCATGTTCTCCTGTACAGAGTGCATCATAGAATCAGTAGGTCACAGCATCTTACATCCTCATGTGGGTTCTGACTGACTCATAGTGGACATATAACCTCAGACTGGAGCTCAGAACAAAAGGCAAAAATGAGCAAAGGCGATTAATTTTCAATGTATCCATCAGTCTCTTTAGAATAATAAGGAATGAATGAAATAATGATAACAGTTTGTCAACAAGGGTTTGAGATGTGATGTGAATCCATAACATGGCTTCAAAGAGGAAAAGGGCTCAATATGTGGTCAGATTACTGGAGCACCGTCAGAATCACTGAAGACATATTATATATGTGGACAGCAAAACATTTTCAGCAAAGTAGTTGCAACTTACGCTAAGTTTGTAAATGTGCAAATAGTACAGCAAAGGTGGATGCCAACTATCTCTTATTAGTCACTCCTCTTTCTAAAATGTAGATGCCAGTATTATATTTGCTTTGCATTTCTTGCTTTTATTCTATCCCTGCAGTACACTGTGGTAATAACTGTCTTTTTTGTACCTGTTTTTCATTTACAGCACAGAGGCAAATCTGACTGGAAGAATGCTGTGTACAGTGGTTGTGTGACTGGAGGAGCTATTGGCTTTCGCGGTATGTAACTTACTTTAATAACTAATATGTTTGCATTACAGCAAATGTATGCATCTTGTCCACCTGTTTATTTTTCTGTTTTGCAGCTGGTCTAAAGGCTGGTGTTCTGGGATGTGGAGGCTTTGCTGCATTCTCTGCTGCAATTGAATATTACTTGCGGTGAAGCTCTATGGAGTGGCTTGATGGACAAAAACATAAATATTACACATGTGGACCAGAGAAAGAAGACTTGCGCTGTGAGCTTGCTAACCGTGATGTTTCCCTGCACATCAAGGATTGCTGTTAAAGCAGAATAGAAGTGTACTGTTCAAACACAGGGATTTTAAGTGGCACCACAGTGGGCTAAAACAAACAAACAAAAAGACTTGTCTGTTTTTCCTGTGACTTTCATATTGTGGACAGTTGGAGCAAGAAATGCCAATTTCTCATGGTGAATCTTCAAAGACAGAGCAGCGTGGGTCTGCTTCAGTGGCGTACTGATCAGGTGATAAAAGCTGAAAACTCAGATGAGCACTCTTCTGCCTGTAAAACATTTCTTTGATGTGTAAGTAACTAATCCACACAGGATTATTTATAATAAAAGCATTTTTTAAAATTGTGGATGTATTACTTTTCCTTGATTATTAAAGGACTACAACCCCCAAACTAGTCATTACCTTTGCTTTAATTTTTTCTTTTTTTTATTATAGTGAAAGTAATCTTCAGGAAAGGTTCTCCAGGCTTCTTGAAGGACATTCAATTCCATTCAGTTTTATTCTGTGAATCCTGCTCCTGGATTCCTGCCTGCCTTCACACAGCCATGACATTTTCTTCTTTTCTTTCTGTTATTTATCTTCCTTCCTTGAGTCTCTGTTTCCTCCTTTTCTGCTTTGCAGTTTTTCACTTTTTCCTTTTTATTTGTTTCCTGGGTTTGTTCCTGCTGCTTTTATTGGATGCAAGCTCCTCAGTAGAAAGAAACACAATGTAGGACACATGTAGCTTTGGAAGATGGGTGCAACACTGACTGTCCAGCCTAGCTCAAAATTCAGTGTTTAAACATTTTTCTAGCTCTCCCATCTTCTTATTCTTCTCTTTATCCTCCTCCTCCCTTGGTCTCCTCCTTGAACCTCCTGGTACTGGGTTGGGGGGCAATAACACAGGAGCATCCTGGCCATTGTCTCCATCATCATCACTGTCATCTGTTTCACTATCAGGACCACTTTCAGTGTCGCTCTCAGATCCCTCATCTTCCCACCACCTAATTTCCTCAATAATTGGATCTTCTGCTTGCTCAGCTGGGTTTAATTCAAAGTCTCCTGCTCCGTTATTGTACCAGGGTTGTTCTATTTCCTGAGGTGGATTTATTTCGATGCCTCCTACCGGAACATCAACCGCCTCCTCATGTTGTGGTAGTTGATTAACAACTAGGTCGGCGCAACGGATTGATTTGAAGCCAGGGGAGCATCATGTGAATTTCTGCAAGATCTTCCCGTTGCAGCAGTGCCAAACCCAGCTCATCGACCGCTAGCCCTACACCAACATCATTTTGTGCTACACCATTACGGTTTTGTGAGAGGTCTCCTCTATCCATTTTTTGAAAACAGTCTGCTACAATAGACTGGAGGGAACTGGTCGGTACAGCTGTCAAACTTTAGCTGATTGGTTTAAAACTTTTAAAATGTCCTTGAAAATGATTTTAACCGGTGACTTTGAAACTTTTACAGGTGAAGCATTTTCCACAAAGCCTTGAATGAATTATAGTGACAGAAAGAGACCACAAGATGGCGCCATTTTTTCACGTAGTAGATACCGCCTGTTGGCTGTTTGTTTACGTTTACACTACTCCATGAGCATTGTGCATAAAGTATTCCTCAGGCTTGGTTTGGTCTTGGAATACGTAGTCTATCATAGATATCAATGACATGCTGTTGGTGAAACACTCTCTGTACCTGCAGTTTGGTTTTTCCAAAAATGTAACAAACAAACAAAACAAGGACACACATATTGATGGCTGATATCAACTCCACTTAACACAGTGACCAACGCAAACTCGGTCACACACTGGCTGAGTTGCACTGACTGACCAAGCTGGTGACCAGCATGAGGAGGAGTACCCAGGCTGTTGTGGCTGTGTAAGGTTCTTCCACATGTTCCACAAAAATTAATAAATAAATTAGGCGAGGGAAAAGATCTACTTACTTTGTCTGTTCTCCAGCCTCAGTAACTTTCACACAGTAACAACTGCTGTAATATATACACCTCTGATGAAATGTCACAAGTGTTAGCTTTATTTTGTTACCACGATTGTTTACACAGAGTTTGTAATTGCAGAAAAATACTCCATTAAGTTAATGGAAGAAAAATGAAAGCTTAGTCTACTGTTAGCATATTTATTAGGGCATGTCCAGAGGTTTTATCTATGGATAGGAACACAGCTGGAATTTAACATAGTACATCTACTCAAGTACAGATTTACTATATTCATTTGTTTTTACGTTATGCTATTGTTGTATGCATATACTTTAGCTTCATCCCATTTATGTTAAAACGTGAGTTACTTATTGTTTTTCACGTATTAAAAAAAGTTACCAATAACTGTTGCATATGATGCTTTTTCACTGCATATAAAACTACTCTGCAGCATATAATTCAAATCACAGACATTCCTGCAACATTAAAGTGAAATAACAAATTAAAGGGAAACAGTACACTTTAATAAATCAACAATTGTAATTACATAATATAATCGTGAGTCTGAGTGGGAGCATTCTGCATAATGATAGCACTTTTAGGTTTTAATTTAGGTACTTTAAGTTTGTTTTGTTGCTAAAAACCTTTGCCTAAATAATTGGCACAAATTAGGATTATGACTTTCTTAAGGAGAATAGTCTACACAGTGTTTCATTAAATGGTAAAACTGTTATTCAATACAAAATGATGTTTAAACTCCTATGTGGTGCAGTGCAGTTTTTTGTACAACAGTTTTAGATTTTGTATTTATTTTGATCAGATATTCTGACTTCCTGTTGATCCCACCCCCCATGCCACCTTTTATCTTTTTCCACTGCAAATCTTTACGTAATAGAAAGGAAATTTCTTTTAATCAGTGTTATGACTCATACTGTTTTATGAGAAAGTGGAGGGAATGCGTTAGCATTTCATTAATGAAATATTTGTAGGTTGATTTACATTTTTCTCTTTAAAATTTTACATTTGGAAGAATGGGGAGAATGCAGTAGATGTATAGTGCCAACACCTTACAATATAGGGTTTACAGGGTATACTTGTTTTACTATATTTAATATCCAGTTTGTGAGGCAAAAAATTAAAAAGATCAGCAAAGATGTTATAGATGTCTGGAAACCTTTACAACACAGTTCTGTAGTATATTTGCGCTGTTGCAGTATCACCCGCCTACAGCCCCTCATTCTCCTCAGAAACTACAATCCCACAATGCCTTGCACTTTTGGCAGCATTTCTTGTCGACGTGGGAAGGGAGGGATTCGGAGGCAAACAAATGTCCATGGGTTTGCTGTCGGGGTACGTTAGAGATAACCGTGACATGTCAGGTCGGTTTGACAGATAACTTGGCGACATTAGAACCATGTGGCTCAAACCCGAAGAGATTCTGCTGAAAAATGCTTTTAAATTGTGGGTCACCGAGAAGGATAACGAGTATTTCGTGCTGCAGAGGAGACGAGGGTACGGAGAAGGTGGTGGCGGTTTGACAGGTAATGTTCGCAGTTTTGTTGTCATATCGTATTTTCGGGACAGCTGCTGCGGCTTCACAAACCACAAGGAAACACGCAAGTTAATAGCTGGTTAACTCGCGGAGAATTTGCCTAGCTAACTAGATGTCTGCCACTGTTAGGGCGGGTGCTGTTACACAGCCTACTCCTCAACCGAGAGGGAAAAAAAGGAAAAGCGTCTTTGCAACAGGTTTGAGCTACGGGTCCAAATTACGTGAGTCAGTTTAGGTACTGAACAGCTGGTTTACGTAGTACGTGTCAGTTCATTGGCTCGTTTGGTTTGTTTGATGTTTCTTATAGCTGAGTGGACTGGGGGGGTCTGTACACTACACCGCTGATTTCATTTCCTTGGGGCCTGTATTACAGGCTGTATTCACTTTTTTAAGGCATTGTTGTGTCACCCAACAATTTAGCAACTTATAAAAGCAGAAGTATTCTGCTTGTTGATTTTCCTGGTTTAAAAAGGGCATTTCCACTCTGCTGGTGAGCTGGGTCAGTTTGTGAACAAGTGCACCTGTTTCTCACACAGGCTAGAAACTAAACCTGGGCAATTGTAATGTCACTGCTGTGTCAGCTCCCCAGATAGCAAATGCATCAGCCACTTTGTGGAGAGACCCTGATGCTTATTTGAGTTGTCACAATGTGGCGTTATATATACACAGTGTGTATAAATCATTTCTTTTTCCTGCAAACTATACAACATCAAGTTTACCCTCAAGTCCTTAAATTCCTCCCAAGTCCCAAGTAAGTTTCCAGTTTAACCCACAGGACCTTCTTTACTAACTTGGAACTCAGAGGAATACTTCTAATACATCCAGCTTTTGTAGATTATCTATTACCATCTACTAGATTGTTAATAATGTTGTCAGTGGCTAGAAATGTACTGATGTCCTAACTGTCAGGGTTAATGATAATGGAGGTTAAATAGTATGGTGTCGT